ATAATTTTTATTATACTCTCTACACTCTTGAAATGAAATTTCATAGGTAATATAATCTAATAGTTACCTATTTTCAGAATTCAGTATCGGTATAATTCCATAAGTGGAACATAAAGGAGAGAGAGAATGAAAATAACTTATAATTAAACAATGTGTATTTTAGTATGTAAATGCTCAGGCGTGACTAGACTAGAAGACAACTAAGAAGTCATGTACATGCACATGATCGCTGTGAAAAGGGAAGTACAAAATGCAGATCAGAAAATGTGTTTTATTAGTAATGCAGACACTATGAATGGTGGTGCCTTTGTGGTATACTTTTATGAAATATTGAATAACTTTAGCTAAAGTTCTTAAAACAGTCTTTCCTTGATTTACCTAGAAAATTCAGTGCTATTAAGACTATGTTAAAAACACGCTTTTTGTTTATATATATGAAAGGAGGTTATGTCTAGGCATAAATGTCTGAACATTTAAAAGTCATGTTGGATTTGGAAGAGTTCTTCATTGTCTGGAACTGCTCTGCACAGGATGTCCCGCATCTCTGGTTCCTGGCCACTAAGTGCCCAATGTACTCCTCAAGCACCATTATAAAAAGTACCCCATACATTTCCCAAAGAACCCCAGGATTATCCCTGTTGGGAAGCACTGGTTTAGTTAGTTTATGTTCTGAATCAATATAAATACGGTAACAATATATGAAAATACAGGGTGGGACAAAAGTATGTTTACAGTTGTTAGTATAGAAAATAATACAATAATCTATAAAAATAAAAGTGTAATATGCTAATTAGACCGGACAGCCAAATGACCTTCTGGATGTCCTTCCGGACGACCTTCCAGATGAAGCCGCGGGGGCGAGGCAGTGGCGGCCGCCGCGGTGGGCAGGGGGCCGAGGCAGAGGTGGTTAGGGGTGATCAGGCAGGCAGGTGAGCAGTTAGGGGCGATCAGGCAGGCATGCAGAGTGGTTAGGGGCAATCAGGCAGGCAGGGGATCAGTTAGGGGTGATGAGGCAGGCAGGCAGAGTGGTTAGGGGTGATCAGGCAGGCAAGTGAGCAGTTAGTGGCAATGAGCCAGGCAGGCAGAGTGGTTAGGGGCGATGAGGCAGCCAGGTGAGTGGTTAGGGACGATGAGGCAGGCAGGCGAGTGGTTAGGGGCAATCAGGCAGGCAGGCAGAGTGGGGTAGGGGTGATCAGGCAGGCGAGTGGTTAGGAGCCAGCGATCCTGGATTGCGAGAGAGATGTCTGACTGCCAGTTTAAGAATAATAATAAAAGTGTAATATGCTAAACTGGCAGTCAGACATCCCCCGAGGGGTCCCAGATTGCGAGAGGGTGCCCAGAGTGCAGGCCGGGCTGAGGGACCCCTGACATCCCCCCTCTGCATGAATTTCGTGCACTGGGCCTCTAGTTAATAAAAAATAATACAAAAATAAGCTTTGTGTTTTACATATGCACAGCTGTAAACCTGCTTTTGCCCCACCCTGTATATAGAGTCTGAAGTTGTTTTTGTCATGCATGTACTGAAAAATGGAATTGAGTCATAAATGTCTTTTATTTCCTTCTTTTCCACCTAAACTCTTGTCTCCCATTGTCTTGGTTTCTTAACACAATATTTTAATTTCCTTTATCTTTTATGCTAACTTGTGCTTATTGTACACCATTGTTAATTTTGAACTACGAGAACAGAAAACATTACAGCTGTATTGTGAACAAAATCTTAATTACATCCTGTATTTGCAGTAATGGAAGAAAACAGGAAAAAGTAAAATCAAGAAGATTGTTTGAGAAACTGGCAGATTTCATGGTCTGTTATAATGTGCCATTGAGTTCTAGACCCAGGTTAAAGTTTGTAGAGTGAAGATGATGCCTAATGTTTTTGTGTGATTGTGGGGTTTTGATTCAAAGTCAAATGCAGTAACTTCAAAGATTTTGTTGTAAGTCTTTCCTTGGTATGCGTCCGTTAGTAAGCCTTATTAAGAAGTGATGGTGAACAATAAGTCCTAACAATTAATGTTGTAAAAACATGGATTTTAATATCATGGTAAGAAATGGAGTAGGCTGTAAAGCTGACACTATATTACAGACCAATTTCAAGTAATGTGATTGTTTATAATATAATATTTATATCGATCTGATTTGGCTTTTAGATGAAAAGAATGAGTATCTTTCTTGCCAAAGTGAGTGGGAAGAAAAATATGTTGTCTGATGTTTTCATGCAGTGATCTAGGAATAGCCTTGAGAAACATAATGTCTAGTTTCTAATTGTTGAGAAATGAAAGCTCAATATTAATTATGCTAAAGTCCTAAATTGTTTTTGATAAGAATTCTCAAACATTTGGATGTTTAAAAATGCCATCTAACAGATCAATTGGTTCATTACCTAGGGGTACATTTTGTAGTTACTTCACTCTGGTGAGCTGAGCTGCTCAAAGCTGGAGGTTTTACCAAAGGAGCAATGAGTGAGCCTTTGTAGTTCAGTATTGATTAGAAGCTGTGTCTCAGCCTTCCTTTAGGAGGGGCAGCCCTTTTTCAGCTGACAGTTCCTCCGGCTTTGAACAGAGCCCAAGGAGCTCGCTCTCTCAGAGACCCCCTGGCCCCGTGTGGCTCACTCCGGCCCACACAGCCAGTCCACTGAGGGCACCTGTCAGGCTTCTTGACGTCTAACACAAACGAAAACTTTCCCACCAGTTATGGTTCTCTCTTCAGTCGGCAGTCAGAAGCATCAGCACCCTGGTTTTCTCTCATTGCGAATGAGATTTGATTTGACTGCCGAACCCACTCTCATTCCAAGACCAGATGAAGGAAAGAAAGCACAATGGTTTATCTGAGTCAGTCTCTACCAGTTGAACATCCACAGGATGGCAGTTACAATTATGGGAAACTGTGTTAACTAATACATACAAGTTTCTTTAATGCAGAGCTTTTTAGAACTTCTAGGAAGCTAAACGTAGTATTTTGAATCTCCCAGCAGGGTCTTTATTATGTTGTGGTTTTCAATCTTATTTGACAATGGAGCCATAATTTTTTAGGGATCTTACACATGTTGGCAATTGCTAATTGCTATTCCAGGACTAGCCCCCTGAACAATAGAAACTTTTCCCCCACTGAGTTATGTTTTCATATGATGCCTGTTAGTGAGGACTGACATGAGAAGTGGCGGTAGGAAAGGCCATTGTAGTTGTAAACTATTGTTGCAGACATTGTCCAGTATGTTGATTAGCTCTCTCAGAATGAGTTCCTCCTGTGATTTACCGCTTGGTTTTCACTGCTTGGAACTATGCGTTTTTCTTTTCTGTCGAGTGAGAATTAGATAAGCTATTATGCTTTTTTTTTTCCTTGCCTGTAAGGCAACTCAAATAAATGTGGCTCCCAGCACAGTAATTATTTAGCTCTCATGCTTAGCATACTAAGGATCTTTCCTCTCCCCTTTCATGTTTATGTAGCTCATTAGTTAGCTCCCTGCTATCGAGCTTCCCTTTCCTCATCTATAATATAAGGATCTACCTTTTGGATTATTGTGAAAATAAAATCTTTTTTAATTGCGTGGTCATGTGTGTGGCACACTGTGGAATATGAAGTAAATGCTATAGTACTTTTTTCATAATTTTAACATTTTTTGTTTCCAGTTTCACAACCTTATTTTATATACATCTTTACTTTGAAGCAGCCCAGTCTTGTTTAGAAGGGAGAAGTATACATACTAAGAAAAAAGATTACAAGCATCCCATTAAGAGCATTGCTGTAGTGGGTGTGAGGGAATGAAGTGAGGTAACCCTGAGTAGAGTTGATGACAGAAGTGATGTACCCCTTGTAAACGATGTCTCCGGGATTGGGGTGATGAGGAAGTAGCAGCAGACACGGCTTCCCCCAACAGCTTGGTAGGGGTAGCCTTTCTGAGCAAAATGCTGGCTTGAACTTGAATCCGAGTCAGTTTCAAAGTAGCTGCAGCTTTTGTGAAATTTTTGGTTGTGCTGCATGTTTGTGCTGCAAGTGGAAAAGAGAGAGTTCCTTCTAGGAGATTTTTAGGCCCAGAAGCTGGGAAGCAGACCTACAATTTCTGAAATAAGAAGTGTTGTGAGCATCGGGCATGTCCGTGATGGGACTTCCAACTCTCGTTGGGGAAATAGAACATACTGGACGTTTGGTGTAGCTGTCTCTCCTCCACCAGGGCTAACTATTAGGTAGCCTGGCATTTCTTTCCATGTGGATGTAATCCACGAGGGGAGCCGTGGCATTTCTGATCCAAGACTCGGAGAGAGAATGCCCTTCCCTGTAGCCCTCTCGTCCCGAGTGTTGCAACATTGGTGACTGGCTCACTGGTCTCTTCTCTTCAGCCACACCAGCACGTGGCTAGGATCCTGGGTTAAGTGGCCTTCTAATTTATCACCCACACTACATTCTCTGAATGAAAAGGGGCACTATTAATAAGGACAACATAAATAAGACATTCCTGGGCAAACAGGACATTTGATCATTTTAGCTAACAACCCCTTTTCTATGTTATCTTAAAAAACACAGAGGTTTTATATTTTTTGTGATGTTAGCTCTCCTCATATGTCTGTGCTCACTATAGTAGCAGAAAATGCAGAAGGCTGTCTACTCTGTTTTGATTTTCCTGAACCATGTGTTTTCTTTTCTAATTTGGAGTGTATTTTCTTTTTATATTCAAAGTCACTGTCTACTATTGCATCCTGTTTAATCTGTAAAAGACCATCTTATGAATTATTGAGTAAGTCGTAATGATTCTTTGTTTGGACTCCACCAGCCAGGTAATAATGGGGGCGGGGGAAATGAAAGGAAGAGGTGAAGCAGAAGCTCTCAGTGCCCAAGCCGGGTAACTGCATACTTGGTGAAGACTGAGTCGTGGAGCATATTGCTTTCATTTCCTATTTTGAAGTGATATTTAGGCGGTTGAAATTAATGTTGATAGCTCCCAAACCAGTGTAAATGAAAGTTAAATTTTTATGTCTTGTGTGCTCTCCCCACTCTTACCTTAACAGAAGAAAGCTTGGCCAGACCACAAGCGGGAATGCAAATGCCTTAAAAGCTGCAAACCCAGATATCCTCCCGATTCCGTCCGACTTCTTGGCAGAGTTGTTGTCAAACTTGTGAGTAGAGAACTTGTGAAATATTCTTGATTTTTAATTTAACAAAAGCACTCACATTTGCATATATTATTCTTTAAAAAAATACGTTTTTATTGATTTGAGAGAGGGAGAGAAACATCGATTGGCTGCCTCCTGCACGCCCCTATTTAGGATGGAGCCCGCAACCAGGGCATGTGTCTTGACGGGGAATTGAACCTGGGGACCTCTTCCTGGATGGGATGACAGGACACATGTATTATTCTTATTTTAGGCTGAATTTAAATCCATATGAAAGTAGAAGGTGGATTATTACAGGGCGTGTCTTAAGTCAACAGCTTGCTGTTTTCCTATCAGTCACAGCATCAGTGGTGGTAATGACATGCACGGCCCCTCTTTGAAGGCCCTGGGTGTGATCTCCTGGGACTGGAGACAGGAGGTCCTGTATTTGTCACATTAGATGTTAGTAGAATCTGTTATGTTGCCTTTATTACTTTTCTACTGTGAACTAATGCACAGGGTATGTATATAATTCTTGTTGTCTCTTCAACTGAGATTTTAATTTTATGATAATTAATCTTACATGGAAGAGTACTTATTTTTTTATTTACAGTCAACATTCAGTGAAATTGTGTCTTCAGTTCTTTTCCTTGCTCTGCCAAAACAACTAGTGGATTCTGTGACATCCCCCTCTGGTGACACCTTCCAGATTTTTGGGGTCAGCCTTTAGCATGAGTATCTCTCAAGTTATTGCAAGCTCCAGCTCTGTTCTCTCCCGTTTTGTATGGACTTTTTTTTTTTTGGCTATGAAATTTTATAGGGGTATTTAAGAATGTAAAAGTATGATTATATACATAAAACTAATGCAATGTTATATTTCAGTTACATCTTAATTTAAAAAAGGATTTGCAATACCAAATGGGCATTGTCTTTGGACTGAATATGCAACATACATATTTACTACTATGTGTACATTGTGTTAAAACTTACAAATTTATTTCAAAGCATTAATAAATTTAGAGCAAGTTTTATCATTATGCATTTCTTTAACCACTGGATATTAAAAGTTTAATCACTGTTATATTTGAGTGTGAACTTTTTTCTACTTTATTAATATTAAACAGATAGACAACCACTTTTAGAGCAGAAATGGGTTGCTTCAGAATCACCGAAGGTCCTAGTTCTCAGTCACCACCCCTGATCTACTGAATCAAAATAAAAAAGGATGCAATCCTATATAATAAAAGCCTAATATGCTAAGTGTCCAGTCATCTGGTCGTCCATTCAACCAATCAAAGCGTAATATGCTAATGATATGCTAATGCCACTCAACTGGCTCGCTGTGACGTGCACTGACCACCATGGATCAGACAGTCGACTGGTCGACCACTCACTATGACATGTACTGACCATCAGGGGGCAGACACTCCTACTGGTAGGTTAGCTTGCTGCTGGGGTCCAGCTGATCAGGACTGAGCGAGACAGGCCGGAGACGCCCTGGATCCCTCCCATGGTTCCTCCCTGGCTGGCCATCCTCCCTCGTCCCTCCCCGGCCCCGAACGTGCACAGGTGGGGTCCTTCAGCCTGGACTGCACCCTCTCGCAATCTGGGACCCCTCAGGGGATGTTGGAGAGCCGTTTTGGCCCTATAGCAGAATGACTGGTCACTGTGATGCGCACTGACCACCAGCTCCAATGCAGGAGCTGCCACCTGGTGTCAGTGCACTCCCACAGGGGGAGCGCCGATCAGCCAGAAGCTGGGCTCATGGCTGGTGAGCACAGCGGTGGTGGCAGGAGCCTCTCCTGTTTCTACAGCAGCGCTAAGGATGTCCGAATGACAGCTTAGGCGGGGAGTGGGCCTAAGCTGTCAGACATTCCCCAAGGGCTCCTGGACTACAAGAGGGTGCAGGCTGGGCTAAGGGGCGCCCCCCCCACCCCCCCTTCCCCCGCCAAGTGCACGAATTTCATGCACGGGCCTCTAGTTGTGAAATAGTTACTTTCCATAGAGTACTTTCTATCTCCAGGCCTTGTGGTAATCACTTTACCTGATATACCTTATTTCACATCCACAACAGTCCTGTGAATCAGCTGCTGTTATTACTCTTATGTTCCAGATAACAAAATTGATTTCTCTTCACTCAAGGTTAAGCATCTTGTCCAAGGTTGTACAGTTTGTAGTACATTCTTATTTTTATTGATCCATCTTTGCTTTTTTATGATAATTTGTAATAAAATTCTTACAGTGATACAAATTGTATGGATAGAACTGTGGAAAAAAATAAAAGTATGAAATCTTGTAAAAGAGTTTTACATTTGGAAATTAAGCTGGTGGTTAAGTCACAGCTCTTATTTTAAAGTTGTTACTGATTAAATAATTGAACTGTAAGAAAGTGGTGAAGAGAAGGAATATACTGGATAGAATTTTACTTTTTAAATAGACTTTCATTAAATGTCTAAAGATACTCAAACATATTTATTTATATATTGGAAAACTTGAAATTGTTTTGGTGTTTTCCGCCTTTACTTCATAGATGGAAGAAACCCCCTCTGAATCGGAGAAACTTTACTCATTTTATGATCTGGAATCAAGTAAGTGATTATCTATCAGCATAAAAAAATCCTGTCATTTATTTCCTGAGATGATGAATTGCTTTGTATTTTGTCTCTCTGTTATGTGAGGGAAATCTAACATGCGCATATTTAATTTATTCTGGGTAGCTTTGGCCATATAGGAGTTTGTAAAGTGCCAGGTTAGGCAGTGAGGGGAATGTAACCCCTAGTCCAGTTGACAAAATAATTTTTCTTCTGTTTCTCCCTCCCCTACTCTCTTCTTCCCACTCTTGCTTTCTTTTTGATGTCAGGAAACTGATGTGAACAGGGTGGGGTCCTGGTGTCCAGGGAACATTTAGGTTCACTGGTCGAAACACAGATGACTTAGGCTCTCTAACAGCATTGAGCATTGCTCTTCTCCTGATGGCCGAGCTACTTGGGAACAGTGAAAGGCTTTCCAGATCCGAATGTTAAGTAAATGTAGGGTGTGTTTTTCTTTCATGTTGGCACAGACACTCTTCATTGAGGTTGTGAATGACTTCAACGCAAAAGTAGCCAGAGCTCATAGCGTAAATTGGCTACACAGTTGAAGATTTGTGTTGGAGGTGAATCTGGTACAGATTTATGGTGATGGGATCCCACTTGCCAGTGATAATAGATTATTATTTAAGTATCACCAATCATTAGAGAGATGCAGATCAAAATTACAGTGAGATAATCATCCCACCCCATTAGGATGGCAACTATAGGGGAAAAAAAAAAGAGAAAACAAGTGTTGGCGAGGATGTAGAGGAATTGGAACGGTAGGAATGTAGGATGGTATGGCTGCTATGGCAAACAGTATGGAGGTGCCTCAAAAAATTAAAACTATAATGACCATACGTCCCTGGATTCTGGTTATACACTCAAAATAATGGAAAGCAAATATTTATTCATCTGTATTTATAGCAGTATTAGTCACAATAGCTAAAGCTTGGAAGCAACCAAATGTCTATCAGTGAATGAATAGATAAGCAAAATGTGTTATGTATACACAACGGAATATTATTCAGCGTTAAAAAGGAAGGAAATTCTGACATATGCTACAACATGGATGAGTCTTGAGGATGTTATACTAAGTGGAATAAGGTAATCTCGGAAAGACAAATACTGTATGATTCCACTTATATGAAGTACTTAGAGTACTCCAGATCATGAAGAAAGAAAGTAAAATGGTGGTTCGCAGGGGCTGTGGGAAGGGTTGAATGGGAAGTTATTGTTTAATGGGTATAGAGTTTCAGTTTTACAAGGTGAAAAGTATTATGGAAACGGATAGTGGTGATTTTGCATAATAATGTGAGTGTATTTGATACTACTGAACTGTATAGTTAAAAATGGTTAAGATGGTAAATTTTATGTTATATATGTTTTCCCACAGTTTTGAAAATAAATAACTGGGTTAATTGTTCTGTTGAACAAGTAATTTAAAGAAAATATGTAGATCTGACATGATCAACAGAGTTATGCTCTAGTTCAACTGGTGTATCTTTTCTAGTTTTAACAGAGAACTAATTAGTCATTTTTTTGATATGTTATTGCTAAGTAATTAACATCTCTTGGAATGAGTTTCACTATTAACATTAGCCTTGCTCACTAGCAGTGTTGTACACACTGCCTTAAGTGAAATGCTCTCGAACTTTATTAATTGAATTGTGCATTCTTAACCTTAACACTCCTTGATGATATACATTAACTGATATTGGCTGTAGAACTTCCTTCTGTTTCAGTTGAAGTAGCACCATACCTTGTTTATTCAACTGAGAAATGATTTGACCTTGAGATTTCTTTGGATGATCTATATTTTCTTGTTGATGTGCTTTCTGATAACAAATTTTACCACTCTGAACTTCAGCTGAACTTTTTATTTCTATTTTTAAATATATATACATATATATATTTTAAAATATATTTTATTGATTTTTCACAGAGAGGAGGGGAGAGGGATAGAGAGTTAGAAACATCGATGAGAGAGAAACATCGATCAGCTGCCTCCTGCACACCCCCTACTGGGGATCAAGCCTGCAACCCAGGTATATGCCCTTGACTGGAATCGAACCCGGGACCCTTCAGTCTACAGGCGGACGCTCTATCCACTGAGCCAAACCGGTTAGGGCTTCAGCTAAACTTTTTAGTTTTCACTTTCTGTCCCCCTGCCCCTCGGGAGATGACCTTGTTGTAAATTGTTTCATAGAAAAGTCTGCTTACATTCACTGATTTAATAAGTATTTATCATGTTTGAACATGTGTACAGGATGATGTAGAAAATGTGGTAACACATCTTTACTGATTTTGTTTCTAATATTTTTCATCTGTATGTGTATTTATTTTGCTTTGATAAGTGTTTGATCTTATAGTATAGATGAACGTTGGCAGAATTCAATTGCTAATGTATGTATCGTGATTTGTAGTTGGCAAAAAATAAAAAAGATATGTGTTTGCTCTCTGTCAGAATGGAATCTAGGGCAGGAAATAGCTAGTTAACAGTTATCTTTGAACACCTGAAAATTATCCATTAAAAGTTCACTGTGTGATTGTGCTATTTATTTTCTCTTTAAAAAAGATATTAACAAACTGACTGAAGATAAGAAAGAGGGCCTCAGGCAACTTGCAGTGACATTTCAACTTTATATCAGAGGAGAAATACAAGATGTTTCTCAACTGCCACCTTCCTTTGACATCTTTGAAGCCTTTGCAAAAGTAAGTGTGACGTTTGGTATTTTTGCTAATGCTCTACATCAACCCTTCACTCTTTATTTTGTTGTTGATCCGTGAAAATCCAGGACCCTTCGTGTCTTATATCACTCTCCTACCTTAATGAGTAGAGAATGAAAGAATGTATTACTTATATTAAAAAGGGTATTTACTTTTAATGTTTTATTCAGTATTCTTATTAATGACCCCAGTATGTTCATTGTCAGCTCTCAAGACATACTGTGCCATTGCATTCATTTAGTTCTGTCATGGTGTTTCAGTAATACAGCCTGCTTTTAAATTAAATTTATTGGGGTGACAATGGTTAATAAGATTATATAGGTTTCGACTGTACAATTCTATGATACATCATCTGTATATTGCATTGTGTGCCCATCACCTAAAGTCAAATCTTCTTCTGTCACCATATATTTAACCCCTTTACTCTTTACTACTCCCCTACCCCCCTTGCATCTGGTCCACCATACTGTTGTCTGTGTCTTCTTTGACTTATGTCACTTAGCATAATACCCTCCAAGTCCATTCATGTTGTTGCCGATGGCAAGATTTCATTTTTTTGGTTGACTAATATTCCATTGTATATATGCACCACTTCTTCACCCACACATTGACTGATGGGCACTTAGGTTGCTTCCATATCCTAGCTATTGTAAGTAAGGCTGCAGTGGACATATGGATGTGTGTGTCTTTGGGAATTTGTGTTTTGGGTTTCTTCAGATAAATACCCAGAAGTGGAATTGCTGGGTCCTTCTTTGTCTCTTGTTATAGTCTTTGTTTTAAAGTCTGGAGTAAGTACTGCTACCCCAGCCTTTTTGTTTGTTTGTTTCCATTTTCATGAAATATCTTTTCCCATCCCTTTACTTTCAGTCTATGTGTTCCTCTCTGAAGTGAGTCTCTTGTAGGCAGCATATGCGAAGGTCTCATTTTCTTATCCATTCAGCCACCTATGTATTTTGATTGGAGCATTTAATACATTTACATTTAAAGTAATTATTCATAGGTATGTGGTTATTGCCATTTTATTATATTTTTGATTTTTTAAAAATTTTCTTCTTAAAGAAGTCCCTTTAACATTTCTTGTAATACTGGTTTGGTGGTGATGAACTCCTTTAAGCTATGTCTTAAAGGAGCACTTGAGGTTTAGATTGTAGGGGTTTGCTGTATAAATATATCCTCTCCACTTACGAATTTGTTGCCTGGCTGTAAAATTTAAGTAGCATGAGACATAGGCGTGAGAACTTTTTCTAGAGGGTACCAAGGAGAACTTCACGTAGGAAGTAGAAGTGGATGCTGGAATTCCAGGAGAGAGGGTGGTGCTGGGAAACAGTTCTAGACAGTGGTCTAGAAAAGTGGCTGGGACTGCGGGGAGCTGAGAAAAAGATTGATCTCCTCTGCAGATCTGAAAGGTAGCTGCCACCTGTGGAGTACATAGCAGTTATACTTAGAACTTTTGAATAAAAGCTTGATGTTTAAAATGCTGGTTTTGCGTTTTGGCAATAGAAAATTTGTGAGGGTAATAGTACCTCCAGAATTCCTATAGAGAGGGTGCTGTGGGTGATCATCTGTTTGGATGGACAGACTGAAGTGATTTGCTTGAAGGTTCATTTGCAGAGCAGTTTTTTATTTTTAGATTGTGTTACTTGAGGGGAGGGCGAGGTGTGCCTGGATGGAAATAAAGGTATGAGGTAGGAGGAGCGTGATGGTTGCTACTGACACGAATGAAGGTGGCCAAAGGGTGGGATGTGCATTGCAGATGCTTGTTAGTGAGAGCACAGGAGACATGCAGTTATTTATATGTTCATGACAAATAGAGGCCAAATTCATGTGTGCCAACTCTGCTGGATTGTTAGGGAAGAGAACTATGTGTCCATCTCTGCCATCACCTCCTCCTTCTCATCCCATATTTCCCCTCTACTTCTATTTCAAACACAATTTCCTGATATATTTCAAAATGGGTTTATCTTGGCATGACGATTGCAGTGGTTCAGTCTATTGATTGAGTTCTAAACATTTACTACAAATATAGGAAATGTACATATGAATAATATAAACCTTAAAAATGGAGAAAGGAACAGAGAGGATACATTTGAATGGGGCACTGGGCCGCGCTCAGCACGGCCAAGGCTGAACCTGAATGGTGGGCAGTGAAGGATTAAAGAAGACAGACAAGAGAATAAAGCTGGTGCTAGGTGGGATGCTGCTCTCAGATGGAGAGACAGTGCCACAGCCTGCAACCTGAGTCTTTATTTTATAGCCAGATCCCACGAGGCAAAGTAAGGGCATGGTCAAGATGTTTACAATATTCTCCCGGGTTTCGAATCTACTCAATCACATGCATCTGAACCCTATCAAGCTTTGTTTTGGCAGCACTTGCCGCACTTCCTGCAGCCTACATCACTCAGCCACCTGGGCCCACAGGTTCGGACCATAAGGTCAAGCTCACAACCATAGCCTTTGGTTATAATTGTGCTGGGAGGGCTTTGCCCTTCAAGCTAGGACCTGCACGTGGCTTTGCCAGGAGAGGACTGTGCCCTCACATTAGTCCGAGGCTTGAACCTGTCCAAACACTGTAGCCACTCTCCACAGGGCACTGAATAGTACTATGTGGTTAAATCGCTTTCTCAGGCAAGTAATTGAAATGCTCTCAACCTCAATCTCCCCATCTGTAAATGGGAATAATAATAAAATCAACTTCACAGATAAAAGTACTTAAAGTGCCTCGCGCTACTACTCCTGCCCTCTACTGCCGGCTTTATTCATATGCTGCTGTAAGACTGCAGTGTCGTAGCGGTCGCCAACCTTTCGGACCTCATGGACCACCAGTGGTTGGTGACCGCTGATCTAGAGTGCCGCCTGCGACTGATTGTAAATCAGAATCTCCGTTGGTTGCTCAGTTTTGCCCAGTGCTGGCTTCTCTTGAGTGCTGAGAATGACTATCTTGTTTGAGAAGAAATTTTGCAAACAGGATATAGTACCTTTCCCGTAGTAACTGACTTGGTTTCAGCCCATAGCTATTGTGGGCAGAAATCATATACTGTGTCCTGCACTCATGACAGCTCCATGATTTCAGAGTAGTTCCTTGGGATGTCATGTAGGAAATGTATGAGCAAAGTGTTTCTAACACATGCATCTTAAAAGGATGGAGTTGAATATAAAAGTTATTCAGTTATCCTGCTATAATTCACTGGAATGGCATGGAATGTATAGTATTTCTCTATTCCATCCCTCAGAGTGTACATTGATAATTATTATATCGATAATTGGTAATGGTTATTTATAACTTAATGTCAGTAGACCTAGATTTGAGATTATTTTCTATGCAAAGAATATAGGTTGTAGAAAAATGTACTTAATTATTTTTTCTGAACTTATAACTTCCTTTTCTAAAAATGCATTTGGTAGACACAAAATGTGATAAGATCTGAAAAATAAAGCAGAAAATAAACCAGTTGCATAAAATGTTTCAAAAACAGACCGTAAATTGGAAGCAGCAAGAGTAAAAGTGACCTCCTAATCACAAAACATGTCATCGTTGGTGTTTTCAGAGCCCAGCAAAGTACTTGTTAACTTCATAAAATGGTACAACTGCCACAGCATTTTTTGATTAGAAATTCCACATCTATTTGGGAAGATGTTGCCTCCCTTTTCCTTTCAAACAAAGTAAGAATTCTCCTGATAGCATGTTATTTTTATTCTTTAGGGCACATATGTGACCTCCAGACTCTAATTTTTAATGCTACGAGTTGCAGCTGGTTTTGCAATATACACTGTGATTGTATAGCTTTGAAAGTGAGGATTTTAGAAGGTGTTTTATTTTGGTACAGTGATACTTAAATTTTACATTCAGTTTTATTAGTGGTAAATTCTTTTTTATTGGAGACTTTTTTTCACTAGAGTAACAATGGAGGATATATTAAATCAAGAATCTTGCTAATTTATAATATGAAAAGAAAGAGTAACGATATTTTTGATTGAGATACATACTTGCATTTGGGTGGAATATGCCATTAGACATAGAGTGATAGTAAATAATCTATATGATGTTTTGCCATAACCTCATAATTTTAGTGGAGCATATATATCAACATGGAGGAAAAATGACTAAATAACTGTTTTTGTCCTTTTTTATTTCCTGAAGAATGGTGTACCTCAGTAAAAAGCAAGAACAAGTTCATGATATGTTCAGTTATTAATCTTAACATTTCAGTTCTGTTGGCTCTCTCATTCTGGATATGCTGGTGTTTTATTACTTACGTGTTGTGGGAGGCTAATTTGTGGGAAGAATATTACCTTCATTGTTTTGAAAGGTCAGGGGTGTGTGTGTGTGTATTTGCCACTTGAGGGCTTCAGGGTTTCATATAGGACCAAATTTTAGAGCTTTTTGTGGATCAGCTCAGTTGGGTTTCACCACTGTAGCATGCTATAAAGTAGTAAAGAAAGCAATCTTTTGAATTAATAAAGTGATGAATTACCTAATTACAAATTTGATGGGAAAAGGCAGTATGATAACTTTCACTGCATTACTAAGTGATCCCAGTGACTGATCAGATGTGCCTGGGTTCTATTAAGGAGAAATATGCCATTAAATATTTAGTACTGAAAGCGAGCAGACACCCAGGACTGCTAACCTCCGGTCACCGGGAGCTGCATCTGTATACGTGGAGGTGGCTGCTGCGTGAGCGTCTCTCTTGTCTGCTCTCAGCAGCTGCTAGAAGACTTAGTGATTTGGATTGCACCTCTCTTCTGGTTTTACGTAAAGCAGGCAAACAGCCAAGATACTTAACTGCACACGGAACCCGGCATTCTAATTATGAAATGCTGATGCATTTATGATTTATATGTTTTTCCTTCATTACAGTAGATTGAAACTCTGAGTAGATTCAAGAGACAATTATTCTCACAAATGGTCTTCTAAGTTATGTGACAATTGTAGGACACTTGGGCTTTCTAAACAAAACAAATCATGTGTTTTTAATGATGATGTT